AAATTGAATGAAATTATACAGTATTCCGGTTCTCAAGCGTACCTGATTCTTGATTCCTGGTCCATCAATCATCCGGTCGCTCAGGCAGTGGGAGTACACTCCAGACAATTCTCCCTGTGGCTACTCAGTACCTGAATGTAAAAGGCAGACAAGAACAGTTCATAGGCTTCGATCTAGACCACCAGTCCGCTGTTGGAATATGAAGCCACTGACAAATTGAATGAAATAGTACATTAGACACCTCAAATATAGGGGAATGGATTACTCAGAATTCAACACAGTTCCCAACAAGTTAGTGCATGCCGGTATTCGTTTACCACCCAGTCCTCTGCTTCCAATCATCCCAGATCTCTTCGGGATTGGGAGTCGAATGGCTGAGTTTGTCACTTCCGGGAAAAAGATTTTGGATCCGGGTTATGAGATCCCACGAAGGGTCAGGAAAATTCTAAGCCCAAGAGGTTCACATCAATCCACAAGATCCTATTCCTCAGAATTCACCTTCAGCCATTCAATCACGTTATGGACGTTCCGCTTGTTATAGGGCCGTTCAGGATCACTGATTGCAGATGCCTCTTCAGCTTCACGTAGAGTCTGAAGAAGCTCAGGACACGGGGGGCAAGATCTGAGAATGCAACCCCAGAAAGGTGCAGTAGCGCTAAATGTGGGATTCCATCAGGTACACAACCCACTCTTCAATGACAATGCACACTAAAACGGTCCGGGGAGTTGGTGAGTAGTGAGCTTCTTCATTACCACCATAGCTCCAGCAGCCAAGTGGCGTAGATCTGGATCCGGGTGGAGCTGGCGAATGCGCGTCCGATGGGACACCGATATAAAGAGCCTTTCCAGCTCTTTTTCGTTGTCGCCGACGGATTCCCGAAGAGGACAGATGACGGCCCTCAGTTTTTCCCATGACAGATCTAGAACTGGGCGAATTTCATACAGAGCTGGATATTGACCCCGCTTCACATCATAGAGTAGCTGGAATGCATGGAAAATCCGAATCAGCTCGGGCGATGTGGTCACGACATCCTGTATATCCCCTTCCATTCTAGTCTTTTCCTCGATAGCTCGAGACCAAATAAGATCACAGCGACGCATGAAATCGTAGTCTTCCCATAGCTGGATTAGGTCTTCCGGTGGTAATGGCTGTGCTTCCTGCATCCCGAATACCCCTAGTAACCAATTCCGGATGTGATCCAGGTTCCTACGAGATACACCGTCGAAAACGAACTCTGGGTTGAAGCAATGTAAAAGGTCAAAGATCTCAGGCGATGGCGGAACGGCCGTGAAGACTGGGGGACCAAGTTTCCTTTAACATCGTTAGTTATACAGGCGTCCGTTTTTAATGGATTTTGCCAGGCGACATGGCCAATGGTGTTCACAGACGGATCGTCGTTCGTGTAAGAAAATGCCTGCAGAATATCTACTACCAGCTTCTGGTGGTGAACACTGCCGACGCCCGTGAAGAGAACACGTGATCGCGTTTGTTCATTGAGGAAGTCCGCGAAAGAGGCATGATGTGTAGTGAGGAAGTCTTGGGAATTCGAAGGAACATCTACTACAGAGCACGCTCGATGTAATGCTAATCGAACATCCCCGCTCTTCATGCTAAGGAGCTGTTCGATGGCCGGTAATGACAGAGATAGGTTGGCGGCAATGACGGATAAGATCCGGAGAAGTTGGCGCCTTCCAGGTGTGGCCTCTAGAATCTGAACGTAGAGCTGATCAAGCGCGGAAAAGGGCGATGCGTTCTCGGGTTCTGCGATGTCCATGACAATATCAAGACGTTCTGTTGGACGGAAGTCTGAGTCGTCAATAAATTTGATAACGGTTGCTGCGTAGATGAAATATCCGGACGATTTGTTGACAAGATGTTCGAAATTCGTTTGTGATGGCCAAGGACCTGCAACATCGACCATGGTTTCATGGTCTCGGTGGATCCGCATGAACTCCGAGTCTAAATAGATTCGGATGTCATCAAACGATTGATGAATATTGAATTTGCGATGAAGATGATCAAAGGATGATTGGCGGAAATTTTTTCTGCCTCCAGGCTTTGACAAAGAGTCTGAGCAACAGCCGATTTACCAGCACCAGCCGGGCCGTGTAGCCAGAGGATTCGACTCGTCGGATCATCCTCCAATGCCCAGTCGTGTAGCTTGGCCAGAATATCTGTCCGGGTTGCGGGGTGACAATGTGGCGGAGGAAATCTCTCCCCCGCGTCGTGAGACGCGTCATTCCCTGCAGCGCGATGCAATTTGTCAAATACTGGACCAAGGATTCAGACCATAGAGCTGCCTGGCCTTGACCTCTGCTCACCGGCTCCCATGCGATTCGTAAACTCCAATGTTTCAATCGAAGTCATGACATCGAGCTGTGATTTATGTTATTAAACAAGCATTCTCATTCTCATTCTCATTCGAACACCGACACGATGCGTACCTGGAAAATCTGACGATGACCATTCATTCGCTTGAGGGAAGCCTCGATGATCTTGGCATCCTCCTCGCTTTGGAGTATTTTTGCGAGACGCGGGCGTCGCTGAAGCGCCTCAAATTCCGTCATCTCAGCCGCGAGAAATCTAGGAAAGGTTGGTCACAAGGGGAAATCGGGATTAAAATATCGTACGTGGGGAGGGGGGGGGGGGGGTCCCGGGAGGGCTGAAAAAAACTTTTCTGTACATAAAGTTTAAAGCTTCAACATGCCTCATAGACTAAGGGAAGGGTATTGACTGGTTGTAATTAACACATATAAGTGTTTGGGGACTAATAGAACAATATTTATCAGTCTGAACTTGGTCTGAACCTACATTTTCTGTGATTTGAGCCAAATTGAGGTCAACTGTGATTGGTTCTCAGGTCAAAAATTATTGAGCTGTTAGAATGCAGAGTTTTAAATGTATCACCTGCATTCATTAGATGGTGTAGACAAGCACCATTAAGCCCAAGGAAGGGTATGAAGTAAGCCGGAGAGCGGCGGCTGGGCGCGGAGAAGCCGGCCCGACCCTAGGGGTGGGAATCTCCTTCCCTATAAGGAAGGAGGGGGAGGGGGGGGGGTCAGCTCAGGGTCAAAAAAAACTTTTCGACCCTATATCCGATTTTCGAATCCCGAGTTCCCCTTGGTTGGTCATACCATTAATGCGGCAAAAAGATGTGTATATATATCACACACTCAGAGAATTACCATGCTCTTTCCTTCGCAGTCCCAGACGTCGCCGTGTCTGTAGCCTTGTTGATGACATTGATTGTCCGCGTGAGCTGCTGAAGCTGGGCTTCGACAGCGCTCTTGTTGTCCGAAATGGTCTGCATCATTGGGACTTCGGTCACTTCTCATCCACGCAAAGGGCACATGAAGACCTACACCGGCCAGGTCGAGGAATGTGAAATAGGATGAGGATATCTTAAGTTCAGATCGCTCTTTATCGACATTGGAACTAGAGTTCTAAGGAACTTAAGTTCGGGGACGTCAACTCAAGTTCTGAAGAGCAAAACTTGAGTGCCTGCCAGGACAATATAGTGGCAAGATTATCTAATGGCTGGGTTGGGATGGCTAGGGTTCAAACCTTATTGTGTGTATTTCATTTTGCTACTTGAGTACTTCAGTTCCTGTAAGACTGAAGTTCCTCCGAACTCAAGTTCTAATGTCGATAAAGAGCGGCCAGAACTTAAGAGAACCTAATCCATTATCTGGAGGAATGCATTCAACACACTGATTAGGATCTTGAACGGGGTCCCATTGAGGAGAGGCTCGGTCTTCCTTGCCAGAAGTACGAACCCTGCCTTCAGAGTCCTAATATATTCTGGGACCGGGGATGGAATAGGATTCATGGCTGGGTCCCTGTGCGCGGACGGTGTGATTAGATGGGTCTCTGTCGTAAATAGGGAGCCAGTGGAACGGATGTGTACGTGTGCTGGTGGGCAGCGCGGGAGGAATTTGCAAAGGATGAGCGGGTCTATCGGCAACAGGAGACTTTCGCCCGCAAAGGCGTCGTAACATTTTGAGCATCGCTGCTTCGAGAACGGTAGTGAGTCGGAGGCAAAAGAAGTAGAGACGTTGTGAAGGTCACGTCAGCCTCGTGTACGGCAAAGAGACACGACGGAAAGCGCTGACCGATCTTCCTCCGTTGATATGTGTTGTAGGTGTCAACTCTCTGTGATTGGAGCCATCTTCCTGGAGCGAGTTGGAAATCCCGCGCTTTCTGCAGTGTTCCGTCGTACGATCGCGAACCCGGGTTTGGATCATCAGCATCCTGGACATTCTTCCCTTTCAACTCTCTTGAATCATACATGTGATTCATGGTGGATGCGATGTTCATTTTGGACGTCGCCAATCTCATCGGAGCCTGCAGGAGAAAGTGAGGCGTGCCAAGCGGCAAGAGCCTGGGAATTTTATCTATGATCCTCTTCATTACAAGTTTTCTCATATCATACAGCGAAGCTTAAGGTGCGCCTCCACATTTCTGTCTCAAGGCGGTGGAATGGAAAGGAACAAACGACTACTCCTTCTTAAGCGCGAAGAAATCCTTGTTGGATTGCGGACTTCTTTTTTGATACAGCTATTAATGGGGCCATCGCGTGGCCATGCAGATGCTGGTGCTTAGATTCAAACGTGACATAGATCCTCAGCACTCCGGTGATTTTCAGCGGAAAATCTAGGACGTGGATGATGTTACTGTATGTAGTTCGCGCCGAATGTTAATACGGACGGCGGTTCTCTCGGTCTCTTCTAAAGACCAAACGGGCCAAAACGTTGGCTAAATCTTGTATGTCCCCGGGTGGATTCGAACCTCCAGAAATCAATCTGCCTTGAATAAGTCGCCAGATCGTTGGTTTAGAATAGGCCTGGACTTTCTCTCATCTGTACACGTTCAATGATTCAGTCAGTATAAGCAAACCTTCCGACGGGTGAATATTGATTCTGGGGTGCAATCCACAATAATGATGCTCGCGTTGGTATTTGGGGAACGCTCGGCTCAAAAGGTGCTCTGCACAGAGTTACGTCCCCGGGTAGATTCGAACCACCATCTCTCCCTTGTATCATACCAAGACCTCTTATACACAGGGAGTGAGCTGCCTTGCTCCACAGGGACTTTCCTAAAATCCTTGTGGAACTTCAATGTCACTCGAATTGCCCATTTAAAAAACGAAAATTTTGCTCGCGTCGGTATTTGAAGATAGCTCACGCTCAAAAAGTACTCTGTACAGATTTACGTTCCCGGGTGGATTCGAACCACCGTCTCTCCCTTTTATCGTACGAGGGCCTTATACACAGGGAGTGAGCTGCCTTGCTCCACAGGGACTTTCCCAAAGTTCTTGTGGGCGTCCAATATCAATGTCATGGATTATCATTTTCGAACTGGAGCTTACTTGCCTGTGATTTGTATTATCCCGGGCATCTCGGCCATAGTTGTTCCGGTTCTCAAGCGTACCTGATTCTTGATTCCAGGTTCCGGAATCATCCTGTTGCTCAGACAGGGGAGCACATTCTAGATAATTCTCCCTGGGGCTACTCTCAGTACCCGAATGGAAAAGGTGGACAAGAAAAGTTCATAGGCTTCAATCTAGACCACCAGTCCCCTGTTGGAATATGAAGCCACTAATTGTGAACCTGTCACCTTACCTCTCGCCAGGGATTAAACGGGTGTACACCCTACCCGGCGGTAAAGCTCCAAATCCTAGCGCTTCATTATTTACCCTCCGGCTTTTCCAAATATCCATCCACCGATGCCGAAAATTTAAAAGCGCCGCGGTTTGCTCGCTCATTCGACGTGGAGTGCCGAACACGACTAGCAAAAAAACCCACACCTCATTTCATTTGTGGGCACGAGTCCAACGCAACAATGTACATCATCTGATCCTTCTTCCTTCTTCCTACTTTCTTTACTTTACTTCAACACCGGCATATTCACCGACGCGCCCCCTCCCCCGCCCTCCCCGTCGACGTGCGCATCGTCCGACCGCCAGAGCGTCGTCGTCGTCTTGGTTTGCGTGTAAAAGTTGATGCCGCTGCGTATGCAGTCGTCAATGTCAGGAAAGAGCGAAAAAGAGACCGAGCCGCAAAATAAATAAAAGGGAATCGTGATGAGCCGACACGCAAAAGAGATGATGCATTCAGATTGAGAAGGTGGGTGGGGTGGGGTGCCAGGGAAGGAAAGACGTGATACTCACCCTTTCCCGTAGAAATTGATATCGCCCAGGAAGCTCGCCTGTACGTTCGGTCGGCCGCGTCAGCTATATCGTGTCTTTCCCTCGGGCCCGAACGAAAGACCCAGGCGGCCACAATGCGTGAAGAACAGAACGCACCTTATTCCCCGTCCACGAAAACATCGGAAGGGGCACCGGAATCGGCACGTTCACCCCGATCTGCCCCGCTTCCATCTGCGTGATGCGCATCAATCATATCGGTCGTATAAGAGAAGGGAGATGCAAGGCAAGATTCCTGTGGAGGATTTATGTAACGTTGAGACACACCTCCGTCTCGAACTTCCTCGCGATCGGCCCCGACTGCGTGAAGATCGCCGCGCCGTTGCCAAACGGGTTCGCGTTGAGGACGGCGATGGCCGCGTCGAGCGTGGGGACGGAGAGCACGCACAGGACGGGGCCGAAGATCTCCTCTCTGGCGGGGGCGACGGCACCCAACCAAACATCAGCTCAGCTCAATTCCATGCAATGAATAAAAAGCAAGGTACGAGGCAAAAAGGCGGAATGAATGGGGCGAGGAAGGGAAGGTGGAAGTCTGAAACAATAAGAACAAGGAAGACTCACTTGTACGCCGCCAACTCCGTACTCCCCACCTCGATGATCGTTGCGCCGACCCAGTTCCACGCGGGGTACTCCGGCACCTGCACTCCGCGTCCGTCGAGGAGGATTTTGGTCTTCGCGCCCGCGTTGTCCGCAGAGGCGACGAGGCCCTCGATCCGCGCAAGCGCGGCAGGGGTGGTTACGGTCCACTCAGTATCCGCATCGAATGAGAATAATATCGCCGTCCGTTTTTCGCGATTCAAACAAGCTCAAAAAAGGACGATGAAAAGGAAATAGGGGGAGGACATGGCAAGAGCAAGAAACAAGCGAGGGAAGGAGAGAAAGCAAACGAAGTGTAAAACAAAATAAAACCCACCAACAGAAATAGCCACGCTCCTCTGTCCCGCCGCGCCGCCCGCGGCCTCCATGAGCGCATTCAGAGCCTGGTCCTTGTTCGCGTCGGACCTGACGCCCACGTGGTTCTTTATGCCCATGTTGCACTGTGCGGTCGGTTCATCAGTGAGCGAGTTGGGTTTGGTCAAGTAATGGACGAGGTAAGGTATCCAGAGTGAAGTGTGAGCCGTACGTACCTGCACGCGTTTCCCGTTCTTCGTGCCCCTGCATAAATCATAAAATTAGTACGGGGGGGCGCGTGAAGAGTTTCAATTTCACGGTGCCCTGCACAGCTCCTCCCCGCGCCATTCCCGCCCACAAAGCTGACCGCGCGGATGGCGTTCACGGTGGGGACGATGTCGTGGACGACGTTGAGCGCGCCAGGAGGGAGGCATGTTAATATCTGCAGCCGTCGGTCCAAACCCAATCAGATTTAGGTGAGGAGATGGAGGCGGGAAGAGGAGTGAGAGGGTTGTTTGGAATGAAAGATTGAGGAAGGGATAGGTTAGAGGGTAATAGATGAGCATGTGAGAGAGGATCTTGGTCGGAAAGAAAGAAAAGGGGAGGATAAGCAAGAAGACGTGTACGCAGCCGCCCGGACACCCAACTCGGCAATAATCATGGTCGCGCGGGGGTAGTGCTCGGAGGGCTTGATGGCGGTTACCCGCGACGAGCGCGAGGGGAATCACCCTGCATTGATTTCCAGGTTTAGTTGGTGGAATAGAGCAGGGAAAGGGAGTGCCCAAGCGGGGAAGTTGAACACCGCGATGCTGCATGTCGTTAAATTTGGTTAGCTAATGCAGAAATCTGACGGGAGAGACAGAGAACAGCACCGTACCTCACACAAACGCCCAACGGCAGCTTCCGCGTCTCCGTGTCCATGTCCTTGCCCACTTCGATCTTCTCGCCCATGAGCGTCGTGGGGATGGCGCAGACTCGACGACCTGGAGCCCGCGGAGGACAAAGGTCAGAGAAGGTGGGGCGGGTAGTCGGGCGACATGGGAGGACGAGAACAGCCGCGAAACGCCGATCAATGAGCAAGCTTCTCTCCCATGTCGATTGAGGCGATTCTGGTTGTATCGCTTTTGCTCGGGCTCATCTATCCTTGGCCTGAAAACAATTTACTGCGTAACACATCCACTAGGTACCAATTCAGCAAGCGTCATCTTTTCTCGGACTCGCAGTCTTTCTCTTTGACCTTTTTGCGCTTGAAGTTGAACTTGCGCCTCACCCTCACATACTTAAAACAGAAATATTCCCCACAAGGAATCGGATGTGGTGTTCGGGCAACCGTTGTCCGTGTTCTTTTAATCTCCTGGCAATGCCTGCTAGCACAGCGTCGACCCCCACTTGCCAATTCCTCGGCGGCGCTCCGTGGGGGATCCCCTGGCCCTCAAATGGACAAATCTTCCCCCTTCGCTGTGATTTACTTGCGGCGGATTTGAATTTTCCTGGACATATAGTTACATTCACTCTCGTACTGTCCACAGGGATCAGACGTCGTGTGCGGCCATGGTCGGTCAGGTAGCTGGCAGTACAGGGTTCAATTCTCTGCGTCCGAACCTAGATATTCCTTTTGTTCCCGCGTCTCCTGGCTTCCAAGGTCCATTCAAAATACGGCATGTCGGTCAAGTCCCGTCTCACACCGCAGCGGAGTACTTTGAGATTCGAACTCTTGCTCGCAATGGTCGACCCGTCTGTAAAGACAACACCCTGCTTTTCTATCGCGACTTTGAAGCTTTGCGCAGTTACAGCCATCTCCTGTGTTGCATCTCGCTCTCGCTTGTGTTGAATCTTTGATTTATGGAAAATCCGACAGCCTATCCTCCTTCCCCGACGGAGGCAATTCGCGCTCAGCACGTCTTCCCTTCCTACCCATGTCGTCGTTCTACATTCTTCCAGCTGAACTCAGCCCGGCAACCCTTTAACCCTCGAGGCACTGATTCTCATCATTCTGCCTGGAAATCTTAACAGCGAGGCATACAACGTAGACCATTTGTTTTTCCTTATTCTCATACCGAAATTTATTAGTACCTCTAAGTTATCTATGAAGTTCTACATCCGATGTAAGCGCATTGCTGTGGACTCGCGAGCCGGTGATAAGCGCGACCGACATACATGCTGGATGACCTCGACAATGATGCTGGAGCCCGCCTGGACGGTGCTGCCGTCAGCAGGGGCTTGAATTGAGATGGTCTGCGCAAATGCAGTCGTCACAAATGGGGCGCTCAGAGCGAGGGAGGCTAAGAACTTCATGTGGGTGGATGGGCATTGAGTTGGAGGGAGGAAGACTGTTCTGGAACTACTTGCCTGTCATTTATTTTATACCTGGCCATACGGGAGCGCAATGCCCGTTGATACGAATCTGGTGCGAATCAATCTGACTCCAACGCCGATTGTTGTGTAGCTCGAGAATAGAGCGCGTTTGTACCGATAGCGAGCAGTCAGTCCCCAACCCTCGGATCCGAAGCTCTCGGACTCGTCAAACTCAGCTCCTGTGCGCATGTGCATTTAGATGTTATTATCTCCCTGCTGCGAGCTAGCGAACCTTAGTCAATGGTGTGTCTATTGCGGGAAAAGTAATCAGACTCCTACATTAGATGTACATATGAACTCGCTGCAGCACAGGTAAAAATGCAATGAGGAAAGGGTAGCGAATGCGCTTGCCCGCTCTATATGTTGAAGGATACTGTACAATTTCGATCAATTCGGCACCAATCCCGGAATTTTAGTACAATAAAACTCCAAAAGAATTCCGATAAATTGAGAAAAAAATATTGCCGCAATAAAAAAAAATGGGCGTGACGCGTAACCGCCGAATTGAACGAAATTGTACAGTATGTGAGCTGTAACATAACATAAGTGACAAGACAAGGAAGAAGAAGAAAAAGCACAGCTTACGACAACACCAGACGTATCACCTCCTCATACGCCCGGTTTCCGCGGGCGACTCAAG